TTTCTTTCTTTCTTTCGCCAGGGTTGTGGGCAGCGGTTGCCCTCTGTCCGCGCGCGTCAGCGCCCCCGTATGCTACGGGGCGAGAAGTAGGATGTATCTTCTTCCCCAGGGCATAGGGGGCGGGTCAGACCAAAGTAGGATGTATCTCTCCCTCTCTCTCTCTCTCTCTCTCTCTCTCTACATATATATATATAATTATATATACATATGTGTGTGTAATTCTCTATCTCTATACGTACTATTTGTTGACTGATCGGTTTCTACGCATGTACCCCACGTATGCCCGACTACGAAAGCGGAGTCCGTGCCTCGGCTGACATCTTCATGGAGGCCTCTTGGATGGCCGGACTCAGTCGGAGGAATTCCTGGGAAGAAAACATTGAAGGCGCTTCTGAAAGGGTTTGACAAAGCATTATTCTGAAAGGACGTCCGCCGGCTTCCCGAAAGTATCTCCGATGTGTCTAGGCCGAGACCTTATCAAAAACCAAATTTGGTCTCGGCATGGGTTTCGCGGACAAGTTTCCACTCTCCGCAAGTTGCAAATCCACTCACGGTCGTTATACGGCATGGCAAATGCAGGGCCAAAGGCCCAACACCCACACGCTGACACCTCTCAATACACCAAACCAACCCCTTCGGACCGAGGCTCCGAGAATGTCTGGATGTCTCGCATGCTGGCTGGCCTTGCCAGGCGATTAATGCCAAAATGCCTTCAACATTCTGCTGTGTCTAGACCTTCTGGCAGCTAGGCTATAACAAAAAGTCTTCTTCTTCGAAAGTCACTATCGAATCAATGCTCGCTTTCTCCGGCCTCCATCACGTGACACGCTAATATCACAGGTTCGGGCACGTCACAGACGGTGCTACAGATGCTGCGAATGCTTCGAGCAACTGGTCACAGCCGAGGCCTCCACTCCTCGAAACTTTGGGAATCTCTACGACATTGACGGTAGATCACTAGTATCTGTTTCGATCATGCAGACCCAGAATTCAGCACCAAGAACCGCGCAGCTTCATTGCAGCAGCAGAAGACTCACCGACACGCTCCTCGGCACTGCTCATCATGAGCGTGGTGTCAGAGGCTGTGACTTTCCAGCAGACTCACCTCTGCAACTCGGCACTGCAGGGCCCTCGCCTCGGGAGCTTCTGCGGCGGCATCGCGCCTCTTGCTGAGGCCTAGGGCCTGGCGCAGAGCCGCCACCTCGAAAAGCACAAAGCTCCGAGCATCCTAACGGGGTGCATCGAAGTTGGCTTCCTTGCGAGGGTGGCTTTCAGCGCAAAGGGTGCAGAAAAGAGGAAGGCAAGGCAGGTATGCTTGGACTTGGAGACTTCTTCGGTAAAAGTCCTGCCAATTCAGCCATATAGGTTCCAAGCAAGATGGCTTCTGTTCCTAGGCCTTAAGTGGTGTCTACTGCCGGGAAGATGAGAAGAGTTTCGGATGTAGACTTGTCTTGCACCAACACAAGAATGCCTGCAGCGGGTATCTACTGCTCAACTGAATCTGCTGACCTGAGCTTATACCAGCCTCATACTCAGGCAGGAGCCCCGCCTGTGCCAATGTCTGCGCTTCAGGAACATCGTTCTTCTCGGCGGTTTCCTTCAGAACTGACTTCAAGTAGGTTCCGGTTGCTGTCACAAGGCATGTGGACACATGCTCAAGACCAGGTTGCATATGAGCCTGCCGCATTTACAGGAAACCGTATTTTCGTGAACGCAGCCGGTGATTCGAAAATGTTCAACCATTGTCAGGCACAGCGGTATCTTCCATGTCTCTACAAGTTTCCAACAGTTCAGAAAAGGTGGTGCACGAAGGTCAAGGCCGTGGATGTGAGGAAATTCGTAAATTGACAACCGCGCGACAAAGGCCCAGAAGCTTCCGCTACTCGGGCCTCCTGGCTCGGCGGAAGCTTCGGCAGGCCTCTCTGAAGAAGCGTTTTCTGGGCCTTCGGAGCACCTGCAAAGGCAAAGTCGCATCCAACAAACTCGGACCCTCGGATCGTTCCGACTCGTTGTGCTTTGCAGGAACCCAGTTCGGACAGTGACAGGACCGACCCCGGCTGCAAAATCGTCGAAAAGCAATTAGATTGTCTAAGCTGCACCCTATTGCACCCTCGTCTTCGGAGGAATCGTCGAAGGAGAGCTTCGGCCGCGCCCGCTTCATCCGGGCGGCGCCATGCAGCCTGGAACTGTCCTGCTTTGGAAATGGCTGGGAACGGCTGAGGCTGGGGCGCTGGGGCGGGAGCTCCATGTCGATTGAGGCTCTTTGCTCTTTTTGGGCTTCATGCAGCTTCTCATCGCATGCTGCTTCATGACCGGAGCAAAACGGCGGCAGCGAAACGCACCCTAAGTGTGAGGCGAAGAGAATCTCAATAATGACTACAATAAGCCGCCGCCATCGGTGGCTCGAGCTTGACACGTTTCTACTTTAACACAATGAAACTATGGCCCAGGGTAGCGAAGCCACCATGACTCAGCCTGGCTGAGAAGCATCCGAGAGCCCGGGCTGCCACCGCCTTGCAGCTTTCCGAGGAGTTCAAGCTCTGTCGCAGGGGCACCTTCATGGCAGTGCTCAGAGCGTAGGACGGCGTCGGGGGGCTCAAAAGAAGCCAGCAAGAACTATGATGTGCGAACCTCGCACCCGTGGAAACCGAGTTGGGCAGCCCCTCTCAGGGAAAGACGAAATGCGTGTCGTTGGAAGCAGCTTCCTTCTCCTTGCCTTGCCTGACAGGAAGCTCCAGCTTGAAAACAGTTCTGCCAACATGAAGGGGGACGGTGTTCAGGAGACGGTGCTTAGTCTCTCCAGTGTCCAGCGCTAACGCCGCCATATTTCAATCCCAGCTTGGAAGCAAAATTGAACCTACGCCAGCTGGGAGGATGCGGGGTGGGGAGGGTGGCTGAAAAGCATAGGCTGCAAGTCCTACACATATGGCAAGGGCAAACCTGTCGTGAGAGTATCCTCAGTCATGCTTATAAGTCATGACCCAGCTGAAAAGTCCACTGCCCCTTGAAGAAGGCAGGTTTCATTCTTGTCGAAGGGGCATCAGCACTCCCTTCCACACGCAAACGCTTGTCCACATCTATCACACGAAGCCTGCAACTAGATATCCAAAGGCCGCGAAACAAAGGGAGATCCCTTCTGGAATCCCGGTCCGGCTCCGCCTTGGTGTGGATCTCGGTGTGGAGCCATCATGCCGCTGCATCGGGGCTTCCCGAGCCCTGAGCTTCTTGGCCACCAAAGCTCACTCAAGAAGTGTACGGGATGGTGGAGACTGCGGGAACGGACGCTGCTAGTTCCAAGGAGCTAGGCTTGGGGCTCTCAACCTCGGTGCATGAGAACCTGCCTCGGATCCAGCCGCGGATTGCGGAGGGACAGCGGCGTCTTGTTGCCTCCGCGGAAACAGGAAGTAGGCACGAGGCACGCACGTGAAGTAAAAAAGGACTCAGAAGGGCCCCGAGGAACAAAAATAGCTTGTCTTGAGCAGATTCCTGATTCGGCCCCGGCCTTTCAGGCCTTTCAGGCCCCCAGAGCCCTTAACAACATCAAAGCAGGGGCCTGACAGCTGTGCCTGAAGGTACTCGAGGGATGCATCCTCGCGCAGCAAGCGAAGGTGCTTTGGCTTTGGCGTCTTTCCCGAAGATGAGACGACAAGGTGCAGTATCACTGACATTGTCCGCGGGCGGGAATGAGCCAGTGTGAGCAGGTTCCGACTTTCCAACTTGAGCTCATTTACTGAATCCGGGAGTGACGGAGAGGAGGAAGGCCTGTAGATGTCATACTTTCCACGCATGCACTCGTGTGGAAAAACTCAACGCAGGCCGGCCTTGACGAAATTCGGCTGGACCCTTGGCGTCGAAAGATGTTCGTCTGAGTTCCGCGAGCTTAGCTTAGCAGTTCACTCGAACTCGACAAACGAAGGGTATTCGGTGCACTAACTTCGTTACTTTTCATTGTAGATGCGACGATCGCCTGGGCTGGGCTAGTGCAGGTGAGCATCCGAGGGTGTTCTGTCTTCATTGTTTGGCATCGATGGTTGCAGCGAGCGTCATCCGTCATCAGCATTGGCAGTTGGGCTTTCCTGCCGTCGCATCTGGCCATATCGCCAGATATTAATAACACCAGCTAGAATAGCCGAAGAGCATCTTCCGTTTTTCTTCGCTGGCGACGCATTGCCGATGCCATCTTCGACGTGTGCAGCGCTGGCAAGCTCTGTCCATGATCCGACTTTGGCTTGCTACCCGCACAGCACTGAGTTTGGGTCCTTGATCGTTGCTCACGAGCATGGGTGCTGTCGATCAGGTCCCCAAACTCGTGGTGCGCTGCCGTCAGCACGACGGCTGTGCGCAGTTCATTAACGTACTTGGCTCTGCCTGCTAGTCAATCGCGGGAATGCTTCCATTTTACGATTTACGATGAATGTAGAACCTGTGCCCTCTCGATAGCAGTCTGTGTCAGTACCCCAGCATTCTCAGATATCTTGGACTGGAGTTCTTGCACTGCGCTCGGTATGTCATGCCTGACTCCAGGTACGCAAAGGACACAAAGTGAGAGCAGAAGGGAGGCTGGCCAAGCGGGAAGCCCCCTGACCAACATGCGCATGTGCAGTTGATAGATGCCGACATGTGCCATGCCTTCAAACTCAGGGCGGCAGTGAAACGGATCAATCATCCTAAGGATGGGTCCGACGCCATCGAAGTATTGTACATGGCTGCAGCACACGGCAGCATGCCAACAACAGCACTTACGTGTGTCGAAGCAACTGTCTGCTACACATTCGGCAATCAGTTGGTTCGAGTGGTACACTGTTCGTGTAGGAACGAATGCGGGCATGTTGTGGGACTTCCACTACAACGTCTATTTTTGCCGCCAAGAGCCATCAGCTAACCGCAGAAGTATAACCCATGCTTCTCTCCACAGACATGTACATACAGTACTGACATAGCACAGAAACTTGCATCTGGTCATGCACGCCTATAAGCCATCCTGAAACCCCAGGTCTCCGTCACTCCGTGTGTGCAGCCTTGGAGGGCGGAGTCTCCTCCGAGTCCGATTCTGCTCCTGGGAACCATGGCGGGACAGCTCCGGGTCCGGCGGGTCCGGGTGGGAACTCTTCCGTGACCAAGCATCTACCCCCCACCCGTCGACGCCAAATGCGCGATGGGCAACATGCGTTCACGCGAAAGCGGCCTCTGTTTTGATAGTATCGTTTGGGGGGGGTTCAGTATGTATCGTTTTACACACCAAACGGACATCATCGGCACAAGCATCATAAGCAACTTGTTCCAGCACCCTTCGGCGAAGACGGCTCTCCGAAGGTGTGGAAGAGCACACCAGGACATGACTGCTCTGCCATGCCGTCAAAGCTTCACGACACAGCTGAGGGTTGTTGGTAGAGACCTGGTAGAGAGGGTTCCGACAAAGAATGGGGACGTCTTTTGAAATCACACTCTTGTCGAAATGACGGTCATCGTTCTGATATCGTTTTAGTATCGTTCCAAGAGAGAGCGAGAGAAAGAGAGAGATAGAGAGAGAGAGAGAGACAAAAACGGAGACAGAGAGAGAGAGACAAAGAGAGAGAGAGAGAGAGAGAGAGAGAGAGAGAGAGCGAGACAGAGGAGAGAGAGAAGGTGCGCAAGCCCACAAAATCAGCTTATCGTTTTTGGGGGGTGCAGTATATCGTTTCACATATCATACGGCATACCCCGGACATACATCTGAGCTTATCGTTTTTTCACAATCTGGCATCGCATTCATGCCACATGGTTTGTAGACCCCTCACCGACTCCCCGACCATGTAATCCAACCCCAACTCCATGCATGGTAATGGTGGACAGCTTAGCATTGGGATTCCGATCTTTTGATCCCAGGAAGAGCCTTTTTGTGTGGGGAGGGGCCTTATTTGGTCGAAACCCGAACTAAAAACATCTAGTTTTTTCTCTCTCTGCCGATCAGCCGGAAAGCAGCACTGCGAGACTAAATCATCTGGCAAGCCGCGCTGCCAGACTTAAACCTGCAACCCTCTTCACGGAAAGGCCTGCAAAGTCCACCGTGATAAACATCCATAAACTATAAACCCTTCATTCCTTAGCTCAAGTCGCCAACCCTGGACTGGCGCAGTGCCCGCCATTGGCCGAGTCTACGTGTAACTTGGATTCGGGCTCCCTTTTTGTTGGTCCAAGGGCAACGTTGCCAGAGGTAACTCATGGTCACTCAAACTTATCCGCAGCATGACCTGAATCGTTACACACACACATGCACTCCGTGTGGCGACGATGTCAGCCAAGAGTCGCACGCGGCCGCAGCGGAAAATGCCGAGGAAGCTCAAGCTTTTCGTCGACTTGGGGGTGCCTCCGTCAGAAAGAGGCAACTGCCAGAAGTCAGAGGGAGAGCAATTTCCGTCAGGCGCGGGCAAGCTGATGCACTCATTACGAGTACAAGAAATCGCCCGAAAAACCCTTCAATTTCACAGAGCATAAACTTCTATTTGCTGGAAGATTCGGGCCAGTGGCCTTTGCCCAAGGATCTGGCATTGCGGAACTCCTCGGCCTGTGCCCTCCACTTCCTGGGAGTTCAAGCTTGCAACATCTCTGTAGGTGAAAGGGGAAGCATGCTAGGTCTGGTGCCGCCCCAACTCAACTAAACAACTTGACCTCTCATCCATAGAAAGGCAACTTTGCGTGGAATGTCGGGGCTGGTGACGGCGGAGACCTCTGCCTTTGCCTGCCATCAAAAATGCCTTTGCAGCGGGCTACCACACTGAGGCTAACAAAGCCCAGTTACTGCCAGGACTGCTCCGACAAGACATCGAGCAAGTCAATGCCAGAATCAGGATGTACCACCCGGGGTCCTGTTGAACATGCAACGTACTATAGCACTGCGTGCGTGAACGCTCGCGACTGCTTGGTCTGTCAACGTGGAAGCCAACTGCAATACGAGTACGCCTTTGAAGCCGAGCCTGCTTCTCATCGCGTACAGTGCTCTCCAAGAGGTCAGTCAACAAGAAAGGCACGGACACGGAACAGAAACTCGTGAAAGAGACGAGCCAGAAAAGACTAAGATGGAGCCCGAAGCTCTGTACAAGCTGTAAGACACCCGAAGATACACCCCCGCCATTCAAGGCCTCGACGCTGGAATGCAAGCTCCGGCAGTTTGTTTGCAGCAAGGCGTTCGGCGAGCAGCTCCGAAGCTCGTGGGCGCAGCCCTGCGGTGCAGAGATCGGGCTTCCTCTCGACTTCTATGACTTCTTTCCCACGACGCATCCGAGGCCCCAGTTGCCTATTGCCGGTTCGACTTTTCCCTTCACGCTGATTGACATCTACCCGGCTCTACTGAAGCATGGTAGGTGGACATGGGTGGAGGTTGCAGGCTTTCAGTGGCATGAATGGTCGGAACTGAACATTTCGATATGACAAAACAAAACGAAAGGTTACACTGAACAGGTCCTCGCCTTGAGCAGTCTGGAACAAGGTATCGAGGCGAGGCTCTCGATCCTGCCGGCTGCACTTTGCTTTCTCTTTCTCCTAGAGGGAAGTGTTTCTTTTGATTTTTCTGGTCTAGTGAAGAGGATCCCAGATTCTTCCTCTTGGGAAGGGTGGGGTGGACCTGCGATGCAAGCAGGGTAAAAGCCTGAAGCGAGGCAGCTGTACATGGCAATCCGGAAAATTCGAAACATGACCCTTGGGACGTCCCAGCTTTGTCAGAAGCTCCTCCCACTGCAAGCACTTCCAAAGTTCCAGGAGAGCATCTGCGGGCTCGATGCCACCGATGCTTGCGCCATGGGCGTCCACCACTGCCACCTCTTCCCGGTAAGCGGCAAAAACTTGAAACAGTCTGAGGGCTTTCTTTTGCCGCAATCACAGAAAGCTTCAAAGGTTCCAGACAAATTAAGAGCTCACGGCAGCTCGTGTTAAATGACGGCACAGTGCGTACAAGTTCAAGTTGTGAGCGTGCTTGTCTGAAGAGTGCCCAAATCGACCCTCTAGAAGCCAAGAGGCAGTGAGGCTGAGAATGCCAGCGAAGCCATGGCACCTGATGTATTCCTGGGTTCTCGCAAGGAGACTGGAACCTCTAGCCCCCCCAAAGTGCCAAGGCTCTAAGACCTCCGGAAGCAGGCGGAACGGCAACCAGCGTGCGAAGAGTGTGAGCCACGCATCCAGCAGAAAGACATCGATGATGATGCCCTACACACGGCCCCAGGGCTTATTCAGGATCTGCTTCTGCCGTCATGGGGGGGACTTATAAGGCCAACGCGGATTTCGCATGGCACAAAACTGCAAGGTGGGTCTCTTGGGGCTCGCGACCCCAGACCCAAACACAAACCGGAGACCTGGGGCACAGCCTGGCACATAAAAGAATCGACCCCCCGACGTCGGGACCCTTCTGGCCTGGCCTGAGCCTGGAAAGACCGAGAGAGCTTCGGGGCTTGCAGTGCCAGAAGTGCGTCGAAGGCATTCTTCCTGTCGCCAGGGGGCAGATATGGAAAAAAAAATATATATATATATATACACACATAGGGGAAATGCTTGATAGACACCCTCTCCCTCCGGGCCACCTATGATTATGTGCTTTCGACTCGCGCACTTTGTGAGGTCGTCGCTTACGCATGATGTCATTGCCCCATTAACTGCGGGTGGCCACAAGAGCACTTCTTAAAAGCCCCGAGGCCTCACAAGGCTCTCTCAGCTGCCACGTACAGTAAACCCTGGGGCTGGCTTGGAGGCTCGGAGGCTCTACAGGGCTTCGGTTAGAAATTTCCGAAAACTCCCAGCTCTTTCTGAAAGTCCAGGCGCGCAGTCTCGAAGAGGTGGAAGCCAGGCAGCCAGAGCTCCCGCACATTTTCCAGACAGGCTTGAAACCTTGGTTTCCAGTAGCCTCATGTGAGGCTGCCGCATCTTCAGTGTGCATGGCAAGCAATTGGGAATCATGGAATACAACCTTCATGGCATAGATCAAAACGAATGCGTTTCATACATCGTCTGGATGGAGGTCCGCCGAGCCACTGCAAGTACAACAGTCGGGCAACACATCAGGCTCACACCAGTGAAACGAAGCCCTGTTCACTCGTGCAATATGCATACGAGTGAAAAGACGCATCGTGAAGATGATGCTACTTTTGGCTCATTAAAACTGAATCACGATGCGACTGAAAGAAAACACTCCTTATACGTCCAGCGCTGCTAGAAGTGCCACAAGATTATGGGTTCCCCCCCCCCCCCCCCC